TAGGGACTGGGCTGACCGAGGCCGGGCTGTGGAGAGCGAGCTTGGGGACCCAGCGGGCGGGGCGAGGTCGCTCTGTGCCGCCTACGCCGGATGCACAGCCGGCCCTCTCCGCGCCCACGCACCCACGTGAGCGCCCCGCCGGCCACATTCCTACTTCCCCCACCACCCCTACTCCTCTGAGCTGAGAGCGCAGTTTCACCACCAGGCATGGGTACACAAAGACAGAGAAGCGAACTACGTGCACGCGCGTCTAAACAACTACGTGGACGCCGCTACCCACACTCCGGCCTCGCTGAGCTGCTGCTCCTGTGAACGTTAGGAGCGAGCGGGGAAAAGTTAGCGAAGGCCCGGGGAGCGCTGCTCCTGTGCGCGTATCTGACTGCCTTAGAGTGTGAACTTGTGACACCTGTGAGTGTGGGGCTCTGCAGAAATCCTTGATATCCCGTCGCCCTCCGTCAGACCCATAAGGAGAAGTTTGAGGAAGCTGCTCTTTGAAACCCAGGCCTCCTCATCCCTGCATGGAGTCGTCGCCGAAGTTTTGGAAAATAGGGATGGGCCAGTTGTGCTAGAAGGCACCATTTAGGCGCTTGTTGATTGGCCGCGTGGGGTTTTGTTCGCATAGGTGAGGCAGGGATGGGGACACCCTGCCTTCCTCTATTTGTCGCACCTTTACTTGCTGAGGATGAGATTCTGCTCTTGGGGGGTTAGATAGCAAAGCTGGAATAACTAGGTGACCCTTCTGGGGTCACCTGTAGGGGATCTCGCCAGAGAGTGCAGTGGGAGAGGAGCACCAGGCCGGAACGTCCAACGTGACTCCCTTAGGAGAATCTAGAGAGGGGAGCGCCTTCAAAGAGACTAGCTTCCCTCCGCAACCCACCGCTCCTCCCTCCCCTCTCGGTTTCTCCTAGCCCCATCTGGTTCCCATTACACTCCCGCCCACGGCTAAGAGGGCTGGAGAGGGGAGGCGGGGGCTCTAGGCCTGGGGAAATGAAGAAGGCCGCGGGAAGTGAGCGAGTTGACCACGGGCGAGGGTCCCCTAGTCCGAAACCTCAGGCTCGCCCCGCCGTTCTGCACTTCTGAGTGGTGGGCCCGGCCGGCGAGGGTGGCTTGGTCCGGATCTACATTCCGGCGTGGCTAGGGGACCTTTCGTCTCTGGTGGGGGCAGGGGAGGAGGAGTGAGTTATTGGTGAAGGTATTTCAGTAGCTCAGATTCTTGTCTCCATCCCATTAAATGCCAAACAGAATCTCCATCCTGGATCCTCGATCCTGGGTCCAGCAAAAGAGGATGCAACTGACTCCCTCGGAGGGGGTAGGGGGTAGGGGTGCCTCTCCTCTCTCCCCTCTCCGGTTATTTTGGAGCCTAGGCTGCCAGTCGCTGGCCCTGGGTTTCCACGTGCCCCCGCCCTCCCCCTGCCCACGCTCCCCGTGACGCAGATCCTCTGCCCACGCAGCCTCTGCTTCAGGCGTCCTCCTTCTTCCCACCCGCCCGGTTCGGGGCGGTGTTAAGTCCTGAGATCTGGAGAGAGACGCCCGCCCGTGGAGGAGGGGGGGCGGCGGAGGCAGCCTAGTGGGCGCTGGGCGCCTGGATTCCGGTCGGGCAAAGAGGACAGGGAAGGAGCCGATTCTGAGGCCTCCCCTGCCGCGTCCTGGGGCGGATGCTTGACCAGAGAGGAAGGAAGGGGGGAAAAAACCCGGGGAAAGGGGCCTGTCCACCCCTCTAGGAGGATCAGTAGGGGTCTGAGTGTGAGCTTGTGCTGAGAGTGAAAGTACCTAGTGTTTATACCTTTGTTTCTCTAGATCGTCGTATATGTGAAAACTCTAGAATTGTAGAACGCCAGGAAAGTTTAAGGCGCTATTGACAGTACCCTGAGCTGCTGTTTTTATGTTTCTTCACATCTTCTTGTATATCTGTGTTTCTTTTTCTCTAGGTTTGTATCGGGGCTCTATGTGTGGATTTAAAAATATATACATTTAAAAAATCATTGACTTGTCAGGCCCGCCAGAGGCCCAGAGCGCCCCCGCAGCCCGCAGCCAGAGCTGCTGAGAGGTCTGTTCGTCGCCTCCCTCCTACGCCTCCCTCCCCCGCATCCCCTCCTACTCCCTTCCGTTGAGAACTAGGAATTTCCAGTCTAAAGCACGGGGCGGGGGGGGGGGGGGACTATAGAAAAACAAAACAGATAGGAGACAGGTGTGTGTGTGTTTGAGGGAGGTATGACAAAAAAAGGGATTGGGGACAAATAGAAAAATGTTCATTTCTTGTTCTGCATGGGGACTGTTCTCAGGACCACGTCCTCACCTGCCCTCTCCCCCATTCTCAAGGGCACGCAGAGCTGATCAACTGATACTGTTTAATGAAAGTTTAATGTTCCCTGTATTGTGTATTCTGGTCTCTTTCAGGAAGGGAAACTATCCTTGACCCTAGTTCTCCAGGAGAAGGGGGGAAAGATTGGGAAGAAAGGGAAAAAAGTGGGTGGAAGAGGAGTGAAGATCTGCAAACCAGAAGGATTGTTCCTGGGCACGTGTAGATTTTCGTCTAACAGATTGCTTTGCTTACCCCTCCCTAGATGTTTTTACCGTGCCGAATGTGGCTCACTCAGCAAGGTTCTTCTCAAACTCACCTACCTGGACCCGATCTTTCTAGACCCTTTCCTGTCCTCCGTGGCCTCATGGGTCTTTGTACACCACTTCAGTTAGTTGCTTGTTTCACCCTCAGCTCGGGACCTCTCCATGGTAGGCCTGATACCTGGTGGGTCTTCTTAAATGAATGAATGGAGGATGCTGTTTACAGGTCAGAGCAATTTTGAAAAGGGAAATAAATACAGATTTCACTCCAAAAGTAACTGAGCCTGGACAAAACTGTTTCGGTGAAGATACTTGTTTTCCATGTTCCTTTTCCTTCTTGTTTCCACTGAGACCATAATCTGGCTCATTGGCATTCTGAAATGTCCACTACTCTTGTAAATTATTTCACACCCAAATGTTA